ATTTCCCTAATCTGGGAAAGGAAACAGACATCCAGATCCAGGAGGTACAGAGAACTCCCATCAACATCAACAAAAGCAGGCCAATACCAAGGCATACCATAGTTACATTTGGGAAACCTGGTGATAACAAGAAAATGCTGGAAGCAGCAGGACAAAAAAAAAAGTCCTTAACTTATAAGGGAAGACCCATAAGGTTAGCTGCAGACCTCTCCACAGAAACCTGGCAAGCCCGAAAGGAGTGACGTGATATATTCAACGAGCTAAAAGTGGAAACCCTGCAGCCAAGAATACTCTCTCTAGCAAGGCTATCATTCAGAATAGGACAGATAAAGAGTTTCCCAGACAAACAAAAGCTAAAGGAGTTAGTGACCACTAAACCAGCCGTGCAAGAAATAGTAAAGGGGACTCTGAGTGGAAAGGAGAGACCAAAAATGACAAAGACAAGAAAGAATCAGAGAAATTCTCCAGGAACAATGACAGAACAAGTAGTAAAATGGCCATGGATACATATCTATTGATAATTACTCTGGATGTAAATGGACTAAGCACTCCAATCAACAGGCATAGGGTGTCAAAAAAAATAATCCAGTTAAAAAATGGGCAGCAGACATGAATAGACATTTTTCCAAAGAAGACATGCAGATGGGTAATTGAGACAAGAAAAGATGCTCAACATCACTCACCAGGGAAATACAAATCTGAACTATAGTAAGATATCACTTCACACCAGAATGGCTAAGAGGAACAACGCAGGAAACAACAGGTGTTGTTTCCCACACTGTGGGTTGGAATCCAATCTGGTGCAGCAATCTGGAAAACAGTATGGAGGGTCCTCAAAAAGTCAAAAATAGAGCTACCCTATGATCCAGCAATTGCACTACCGTTTACATCTTTTACCTTATGTATCCATTAACAAATTATTGTAGTTACAAGGGTTTTTAATACTTTTGTCTTTTAACCTTCATACTAGATTTATAAGTGATTACCCACCACTATGACATGAGAACATTCTGAATTTGATTATATATTTACCATTACCACTGAGATTCATACTTTTTTATGTTTTGTTGTTCCTAATAAGTGCCTTTTTAGGTTATAGAAGTCCCTTGAATATTTCTTGTAAGGCCAGTCTAGTGGTGATGATCTCCTTTAGCTTTTGCTTTTTCTGGAAAACTCTTATCTCTTCTTCAACTCTGAATGACAGCTTTGCTGGGTAGAGTATTTGGAAGGTTTGTTTCTTTCATTTCTTGAATTGTGCCACTCTCTCCTAGCTTGCAAAGTTTCTGATGAAAAATCAGAAGATAGACTTCTGATAGACTTATGGGGATTCCTTTATATGTTTTTCTCTTCTTTTAAGATTATCTCCTTGTTTTTAACTTTTGAGAGTTTAATTATATTGTGTCTTAGTGTAGGTCTCTTTGGATTCCTCTTTTGGAGATTCCACGGGCTCTCTAGATGTAGCTGTCTCTTTCTCTAGGTTAGGGTTGTTTTCTGTTATTTCTCCAAATAAGCTTTCTGATCCTTTCTCTCTTCTCCTGGGACCCCTATAATGTGAATATTAGTCTCCTTGATGGAGTCTTGTAATTTCCTTAAGCTGTCTTCGCTCTTTTTCATTATTTTTTTCTTTTTGCTTCTCTGATTGAATGAATTTGTCTTTTCTCTTTGAGTTTGCTGATATTTCCTTCCACTTTATCTAGTTGACTCTATTGACTTTCTTAACTCAGTTATTGTATTTTTCAGCTCTGATTTCTGTTTGGTACGTATTAATATATTCTGTTTCATTGGTGAAATTCTCACTTTTATCAGGGTCTGTTTCTGGAGTTTTGTTGTTTTGTTTAGAACGTTTTCTTGAGGGATCCCTGGGTGGCGCAGCGGTTTGGCGCCTGCCTTTGGCCCAGGGCGCGATCCTGGAGACCCAGGATCGAATCCCACATCGGGCTCCCGGTGCCTGGAGCCTGCTTCTCCCTCTGCCTGTGTCTCTGCCTCTCTCTCTCTCTCTGTGTGACTATCATAAATAAATAAAAATTAAAAAAAAATAAAAACATTTAAAAAAAAAAAAGAACGTTTTCTTGAGGGGGGATCCCTGGGTGGCGCAGCGGTTTGGCGCCTGCCTTTGGCCCAGGGCGCGATCCTGGAGACCCGGGATCGAATCCCATATCGGGCTCCCGGTGCATGGAGCCTGCTTCTCCCTCTGCCTGTGTCTCTGCCTCTCTCTCTCTCTCTGTATGACTATTGTAAACAAATTAAAAAAAATTATAAAGAACGTTTTCTTGTTTCTTCATTGTTCTTTCACTCTGTGTTGGTTTCTGCACATTAGAACCTCTCCCAGTCTTGACAGACTGGTCTTGTGTAGGAGGTGAATCTAAGCTCTTAGTTGTCTCTCAAACCTTTGATTTTCTAAGCCACTTTCCTTGTTTTTAGTGGGTTCCAGGAGTTGAAGGTGTGTCGAAACCTGTCAGAATCCCAAAGGGGAGGATCTTAGTCAACACCTAGATGCAGGCTGATTGAAAGCCAGACCTTTGGTTAGCAGCTTTTATGCAGGTATTCATAGCATACTACAGTATGCAAGCAGACTTCTTTCCGGAGTGACTGGGGACTGTGCATTTCTATATGCTCCCTTTGCACTAAACCTCAGGTAGAGAGCCAGTTAAGAAGCACTTATTTATTACTGTCCTGTAGAATCTGGAAATAAAGCCCCCTTGGCTGCCAGAGCAGGTGATCAATGGGTGTATCCCCTGGACAGTAGCCACGAAAGCCAGGGTCCTAGGCATGTATAGAAGCTCATTCCAGGGATACACCAGCGACCTGAAGTGGGCCAGAGGGAGGATGTGGGGATGGTGCCTGCTGGCTTTCCTCATCTCCACAGAGGATTGCAGTCTGCCCATAGATGCATGCCAAAACAGAAGCCTGACCTTCAGGAAGCAGCTTTTAAAGTATACAAATAGGCCTTTTTTAGAGAATGACTAGGATATAGATGTTTCTGCCTACTCTCCCTGTGTGCTAGGCTTCAGGAATTTCCACAGTGAGTCTTCACAAGCCCATTAAGAACTGTGTTCTAGAATCCGGCAGGTCTCATGAGACCTCATTGTCTTTCAAAGCTAGGTGTTTGGGGTGCCCATCCCTCGTGCAGACATCTTAAAAGTTGGGGCACCAAAAGTTGAATCCAAACTCTTCACTCCTCACAAAGAAGCTTGGAGTTGTAAGTTTCCTCCTGATTGCTGCACCAAGAGTGGTTTTATGATAAAATTCTGTTTCAGCATGTTCTGCCTATTTTAATGTGGATTTTTTCCTTATTTGCCCAATGTGTAGGAGTCACTCAGCTAGTTTCTGGATTTCTTGCAGAGGAAATTGTCCCATGTGTAGCTGTAGATTTGGTATGTACATGGGAGGAGGTGAGTTTGGGAGACTGCTATGTTGCCATCACTGACCAGAACCACCAGCACTATTTGTAATTGTCCCAAATTGGAAACTACTCAGATGTCTGGCAATACTAGAATGGATGGATAAGTCGTGGTATAGTTACACAAAAATTCTATACAGCATGAAGTATAAATGATCTACTGCTACATAGCACAACAATGATAAATTTCCTAAATATAATATTAAATGAAAGAATCCAGACACAAAAGAGTACATACTGTAGTATATTAGTCATATAAAGTCTACAAACAGGCAAAACTAATCTTTGGTGACAGAAGTCATGATAGTAGTTATCCTTGGGTTAGGGGAAAGACAGATAGAAAAGGGGGACAAGACAGTGTTCTGGGATATGGGTAATGAACTGTTTATTGGCCTGGACCCTAGTGATAGGGATGTGTTCACATCATGAAAATACATCAAGCTGGGCAGCCCAAGTGGCTCAGCAGTTTGGCACTGCCTTCGGCCCAGGGCCTGATCCTGGAGACCCAAGATCGAGTCCTGCATCGGGCTCTCTGCATGGAGCCTGCTTCTCCCTCTGCCTGTGTCTCTGCCTCTCTCTCTCTCTGTGTGTGTGTGTGACTCTCATGGTTAAATAAATAAAATCTTTAAAAAAAGAGAAAATACATCAAGCTTATGATTTGTGTACTTATCTGTATATGTACTATACTTCAGTAAAAGGTTAACTTACCTTCAGTAAAAAAAGAAATCCAATATTTTCAGCAAAGGCTTTTCAGTGACTTCCCATAGTACTCAGAATAAAACCCAAAGTCCTTACATAGCTAATAAGGCTGTACATGATCTGGCCCATTGTTACCTCCTCCACATTATTCCTTATCATTATTCCCCTTGCTTACTCAACTCCAGCCACATGGCCTTCTTGCTGTTCTGCAAACATAACAAAACTCCTTTCCATCCTAATGCTTTGTGCTTGCTCTTCCCTTTGCCTGGAACACTCTTCTCTCAGCTTGTCACTTTGTTGTTTTTTTCACCTGAGAAGTTCTAAGTCATTCTGTTAAAAAGAAAGCCTTGCTAGTATAACCTCTCTTGCCCACCTCAGCTTAGTGAATAGAAAGCTCAGATCTTTCCCCACTGCTTCTATAAAATTTGGCCAAGAGAATGTACTTTAAATAAGACATCATATCCTAAGGTGGGAGAAACCAGCTAGAACTTACTTCTATCTGCTACCCCCGGATTGTCCAAAGAAAAACAAAATATGGTCAACAGGCAGTGGGGCTCCTCTCTGCAATCCTATATTCCTTTTTTTAAAGGACTTTATTTATTCATTCATGAGAGACCCAGAGATAGAGGCAGAGACACAGGCAGAGGGAGAAGCAGGCTCCCGACATGGGACTCGATCCCGGGTCTCCAGGATCAGGCCCTGGCTGAAGGCAGTGCTAAACCGCTGAGCCACCCGGGCTGCCCACAATCCTATATTCCTAAGAGAACATTGACTTATTCTCACCTTATCTCTAGGACAAGTAATGAATATAGGGAAAGCCTGATGTAAAATTGCTCAATAAGCAATAGATGTCTTTAACATGTGTTTGAGGATATCTTTTCTTCTCATGATTTCATCTTAGATACAACAACTATGACAGAGCTGTCATCAATACTGTACCTTATGATGTTGTCCATCGTTGGTATACAGCACACCGGACTCTGACAATAGAGTTGAGGAGACCTGAGAATGAGTTTTGGGTCAAACTAAAGCCTGGCAGGGTGGGTGCCGAATTCTAAATATGTCAAGTAAGCTTGTTATACTGAAGCAGTGAAAATGGGTATGTATTTAATATGTGAGTCACAGTCTTGCAAAGATAAAAAAGAAGAGTCCTGGGTATTGGCTCTGGTCCTGCCACTCACTGAATGACCTGGAAACAGTTCCCACACCATATGTAGCATCAGTGACTCAGTAGCTCTGTATGTATAATGAGGGGGTTGAGCTAGATAATCCCTAAGGGTCCTTCTAGCTCCTTTTTAATTTTTTTGGCTCTTGATATATCATCTGAATGAAGAAAATCTTCAGCTTAGCATAAAATATAATGAAATAGTGTAAGTCTTTGAAAAAGTATATATTAAATATTAAATAGAAAAGAAAATGAAGCCAGTTATCTGATTTTCTTTGATAAGAATAATTACTCAAGAAACATAAGCTCCTCAAGTGCAGGGCCTGATTATCTACTGTTGCCTTTGTAACTGCCACCCTGCCTCCTACAGGGCTATACACATCCTAATTTCCAAATGCTTGTTTAATCTCAAAAAGAAAGATATCTCATTGAATGTAACCAGAGAACAATCTAAAGCTTTTAAGTGATCTCTTCTGATTTAGAGTTCTGTTGGTCTGCTTTTGTTCTGATGGTGTTTTTTTTTTCTCTTTTTGCCCATTCACAGGTCCTATTTATAGACAACTGGCGTGTCCTACATGGCAGGGAATCCTTCACTGGCTACCGCCAACTCTGTGGCTGCTATTTAACAAGGGATGATGTATTAAACACTGCTCGTCTCTTGGGGCTTCAGGCTTAGAATTGACAACATTAGAATTATGAACACACCTGGCACCCTGGCTACCAGAATTTCATATCAGCAAAATAATATTATGTCAAAACCTGCATCAAACTGTCTCCTTATCCCATCACACAAAACAGAAGTTGCAACTAGATCAGTTAAAAAGAAATGCATTTTAGGAACAAAGTCTTTATAAGGCAGCAATTTGTAAAATGTTTGGTCTTAAGACACCTTAACATTCTTAAAAGTCCTTGAGGACCCCAAAGAGTTCTTGGATATGGGTTATATCTATTGATACTAACTGTAATGGATTCTAAGACTGAGAAATATTTAAAATTCAAGAACACAAAATCACACTTCCCTCAGTATCAGAGAGATGACATCATCACATGTCATATAGCCTTCGGAAAAATCCTCTGTACATTTACGAGGTAATAAGAATGAAAAAGGTAAATATCATCTTAGTGTTATGATAAAAAATAGTTTTTAATCCACAGGGCCACTAAAAGTGTCTCAAGGATCCCTCCAGGTGTCTTCAGACCACTCCTTAAGAACCAATGGCCTGGAGGATACCTTAAGGTAAAGGATGTAAAGGATCGCCTGTGGATTAAAGAGTTTAGCTGAAATCCTAGATTTATATCTACAGTGTCCTAGAACTAAGATATCGTAGAAATTGCTTGATAGCACAAGCTCAGTGATAAGGTAGTAACTGAATTCAAACACGGTGTTTTATCTTACAAGAAGGGCTATCTCCATCCAAATCATCTCTTGAAGAGTTAAAATAGGAAGTCACAATAGCTCCTGTGGAATAAATCCACCAGTTCAATAACTCTGTGAGGGATAATTGCAGAAATATTTTAGAGACATCTGAGGTTCCATATGATAATCCATAGTCTGTAAGACTGTTCAGTGAACTCATCATGACAGATGTTGTGCCTCCAAAGAACTGGAAATTACTATCCAATTTTGCATTTTTGCTTTTGTTGGAATTTAGAATGCAATCTGTTTCCTCCATTTCTGCTGATCTTTTTTTCTTTACTTAAAATACTATACATGTTAACTGCTAAGATTTGACTGGGTTAAGTATAATACCTTGTTTCTTTTCTTCTTAATGGCTTCATTTATATATGGATGGAGATACAGAGAGATGAGTATGAGGCTTATTTTCCCCTAGCTTCCATTGAAAGTGAAGCTGTAAAATAACTGCATTGACCACTGTAGAATGATGAAGGAGAATCCAGGCTAGGATGTGCAGAAGAGGGAAAAAAGCACTATTGGTGAGGATAGAAGTCACAAAGCAAAGTCAGTACTCTGACAGAGAAGAGAGTCTAATCTGATGTTCACAAAAAGTGCCTAGTTCACATTTAGGAGTTTATGCATTATCTTTTGGACTCACCCAGTGCTCTAAAATATGTTCTCTGAATATTTCTGCATTTTATTTATACTATGTAGGAGTCTTTAGGCGCCTTCATGAAATCTGTTTTCTTTAGATCAGAGAGGATTTATAATAAAGTCTAGGTCTTAAAGAATATATATACCTGTTAGCGATCAGAACAGAAGTAACATTTTTACATGCAATCTATTCTCCCTACTGTTATGTACTCCTACAACATGTCACCATTATTCTTCATCAGGATATTTACCCTTTATGGAATTTTGCTTAACTTAGCCTTCAAAATTACATTTTAACTGTAGTCAGCATTGATTTATAACAAGCAAAGGGCATATTCAGGGTCCTGGAGAGAGAAGGATACAGATCAATCTTCTCCTTCACTGAAGGACTTCCTTTACCTTCTGTTTCCCCTGGGACCTTGATTCATTAATTATTTCACAGTCACTTTTCTAAATTTTCAATCCATACTTTTCTACAGTATACTCCCTTCAAAGGAAGAAAGAGGGAAGGGAACTGAGTGCTCATCGTGATGCATTGAAAACTTTCTTTGTGAGATGTTTCTTTTTTACATCTTTCTAGTGTCCCTGAATATGTATGCCTGAGTCTATGTCCACCAAGCTCAGTGTAGAATTACTTTTACTTTTTGCTAAGGTGAGATGGGATCAGTAGGGTCAGGAGCACAGCACCTAACATAGTCATTTCACAATACAAATTTGTTAGAATAAGAATAAATTTATGAATCCATTTCGAACAAAATTACCAGATATTACCATGTTCTCTGTTAATTATGTCCTTTTGTGTTTGACAGTTAACCAGCACTGAATTTTGTTTACCTTCCTCTACAATGACAAACCATTCAAGTGTGTTCAGGACTGAAGGATTTCCTGGGCTGCAGAACTTAGTGCTAAAACTGGGAAAGTCCCACATAAACCCTACCTTCTTGCTGCTAGCTATGTCTTTTTCTTTAGTGTTCATAACTGGTTCCCATTTCTATCCAAGTGCTTGTGAATCACAACCTGTGTAGTACATAATGAAAAGAAAAAAAGAAGGGCACCAGAGTGGCTCAGTTGGTTAAGTGTCTGCCTTCAGCTCAGGTCATGATCTTAGGGTCTTGAGATTGAGTCCCATATTGGGCTCCCTGCTCAGCCAGGAATCTGATTCTCCCTGTACCCTCCCATCTTCTTCCTCTCCACTGCTCATGCTTTCTCTCTCTCTCTCTCTCTCTCTCTCTCTCTCTCTCTCTCTCTCATGCTGTCTCTCTCTCAAATAAATAAATAAGACCTTTTTTTTAAAAAAGGAAAGGAAAAAAAGATATATGAACTATGGTGTGTTGTGGTGGTTCCCAAAGTAGACCAGCAGTAGCAGCAGCAGCAGCAGCAGCAGCAGCAGCATTTGAACACTTGTTAGAAATGAAAATTCTTAGGCCCCACAACAGACTTACTAAATCAGAAACTGTAGAGGTGGAAGCCAGCAGTTTGCGTTTCAGCAAGCCCTCTAGGAGATTCTGGTGCCTGCCAAAATATGAGAACCACTGAAGGGAAGAGCCTTATTGCTGAGTTTTAGACCCTATTTTGAGCTACAGTTTGCTCCTCTTCATTTTATTTTTTTAAGATTTTATTTGTTTATTTGAGAAAGAGACAGAGATAGTGACAGAGATAGCAAGAGAGAGCAAAAGAAAGAGAATGCACAAGCAGGGAAGAGAGGAAGAAGAAGGCTCCACACTGACCAGGGAGCCTGACATGGGGCTCGACACAGGGCTTGACATGGGGCTCGATCCCAGGACCCTGAGATCATGACCTGAGCCAAAGGCAGAGACTTAGCCAACTGAGCCACCTAGGCGCCCCCTCTTCTTCACTTTAAAATGGAGGCCTTGGACTGTGCAACATCTAAAGGCTCTGTCACTCTATAACTTTGTTTGACCTCATAGCTTAAGTTATCTCATGAATGGAGTAAGGAAAATACCTATATCACAGGTTTTTCTAGCAAATTTGTGATTCTTAAGTAAGATGTTTGCAGCTCATAATAATGACCAATAACAACAGCTAACTCTTTCATAGTGCTTTCTATGTGCCATTGTTATGACTGCTTTTAATCACCACAGCAACCATACCCTTATTTTATGAATGAAGAAATAAAGGCAATGAGAGATTAAGCAGTTTAGCCAAGGTCACATGGCTAAATAAGTGTCAGACTTTGGATTAGAATTTCAAACACCTGGCCACAGAGACAGTGCTTTTCATTAATATGCTATAGTCCAAAATAAATGTTAATTCCTTCCCCATTGTCCTTATTCCAACAATATTTACAGTCTAGCTGACCATTCAGATGGTAATCATCATCTGCACTATTAAGTTCCTGCCAATAAATTCTTAAGAGTACCATGAGACGATCCAGATGTTTTGCAAATAGTTTGTAAATATCCACCAAACCCCCCTACGTTTTTTTAAAGTGTTTTTCACTAATTTTTCTTCTTCCAAAGGTAGAAGATGATAGAAAGACATCAATCCATTCAGCATTTTTCCTTCTTTCCACACTCTTCTGGAATATGTCAGTTGTTAGGATCAAAACCATTTTTTTATTTTTTTAAGATTTTATTTATATATTCATTAGCAACACACAGAGAGAGGCAGAAACACAGGCAGAGAGAGAAGCAGGCTCCATGCAGGGAGCCGGATGTGGGACTCCATCCTGGGTCTCCAGGATCATGCCCCAGGCTGCAGGTGGCGCCAAACTGCTGCACCACCGGGGCTGCCCAGATCAAAATCATTTTATGGCATATTCATATCACTGCCCCCATGGAGCTCTTAGGCATATTGGAGATCCGCTCACACAGTCAGCTGGTGGCTTCATTGTGAGGTCAGATCATGTCTGTGTCCTTGCCTCCTTAGGCCTACAGCTCACCAGAGCCAAATACCCTGGCATATATGGTTGTAGTTCTTTTCTTGTTCTTTTTTGTTGTTGTCAGATCTACATTTGGGGGTTGGTGGGTTTGCAGGTAGTTGATCTTACTCCTTGGCTTTAAGCAGTGGACCTGGCCTTTGTCCTCCATCTTGGTCAGAATACTTTTGGATCACTCAGCATATAAAAATCAGTTTGATCAATGGAATCCAAGCTTTCTTTCTGGAAAAAAAATCATGAGGCATCTTTTACAATTGTGAAGATCATCTTAAACCGTGTTGGTTTGTATCATACAGTTTCATAGTGGTATTCTAGCCTACTTTTATGGGTAGACGAGCATGGTAATTTATCCTGTGCATAAGCGAAGATCACTGGGTCAATGCTATGTGAACCTATGAAGTCAGTGAAGGTTTTTCTCTTCTAGCCCCACCTTTCTCTATGGTCTGTCCTTTGTCCTATCAATGATGGTCACTCCCTCCAATTCAAGTGCTCAATATCCTCTCATATTCTGCTTTCTAGATCCCTCTCCGATGCCTTGACTGAGCAGTGTAGTGTCATAGAAAGGGCATGGACTTGGACCAAACTGGGTTTGAATTCCATCTTTGCCTCTGACTAGCCTGGCGAATTTGGGGAAGCTACTTTCCTTCCTTGAGCCTCTTTCTTCATCTGCAAAGTAATGCCTATAAATGTCATCTACCTGAGAAAGCGGTGATGAAGAATGAAATGAGGTCTTATGTATAAAGGGTATACCATAGTGAGCAGCACACAGTAAATACTCAATAATTAGTAGTTGTTTATCTTTGTCACCAATGTCATTTGAGCAAATTGAAGGGAACAAGGCTAGTCTGTGTGTTTGACAGACATCAGCATTCTACTTAGAGAAAGGCAATGAGAGTCAGAATTGGAAAAATTTGTGGAAATGCTAGAGGTCAAGGAGAGTAAACAGATCATGAAATGCACACATATTGGCAGAGCATTCCAGCACGGCCTGAGAGTTTGTAGATAGGAAGTTGTCTTGAGTAGGTGGTGCAGGAGCTGAGAGCCGAAAGGGCAGAATGGATCAGAGAGAAAGGTCAAGGTATGGATCAGAGATTTTGCTGAGGCAAGAAGAGTGTTTTAGGGAACGTGGCTTAATAACAAAGGTGATAGGGTAAATGAGGCAGGTAGGCAGATACCCATGCCTGCAATGATGTATAGTTAAGGAAGAACATGTACTTCCACGTGCGAGTTCACCACCTCCCAAAACCCCAGTGAAACTACTATAAAATGATATTTAAAAGGATTGGAAGAGCAGGAAATGAAGCAACGACTAAATTTTGAATGCTGAAAAGCAGGTGGATGAATAGTAATTGACTTAGCAGACCTAGAAAGACCACAAACTAGGAATTTTAACCCTTAGCAGGAGAAGCCAAAAACCAACCTCATTTATTACCCCTTCTTCCATCCGACCCACAATAATCTTCAAAGGCTAAAACAGGTAACTCTGGAAGTGGAGATGGGTGGTGGGTACCCAAATAATGAGGTTTGTTTAAAAACTTTTTGAGATTTCCAAATCTCCTCCTGCATTTGATACTTGACTAAAATGGGGATCTGCCCCTTCCCTGCCCTGACAGAAGTCTGGAGTGTTAGTTCCTGAAAAGGAGAGCACTCTGGACTGGGAGTTCCTATACCCAGCCAAGGGCTGGAATCTCATATTAAAAACAGAAGGGCTAATTGGAAATATGCATCCTGAAAGTTGTAAATCGCCATCCTTATACACCTCTGACTAAAATTTTAGCAGCTGGAAGATTCTTTTCTGGGCCATTTGAGCAACTGAAAAGAAAAATATCTAAGAATATTGACACTAAAGAGCCCCAAAAAGAACCCAGCTGGATTACTCCATGGTGAGGCTCATAGTATGATATTGGGGGTACATGGGGGAAGGAGGAGACCCATCTAGTTCGATATTTATTATTAGAAATGCAGGGGAGAGCTAAGATTGCAGCATAGTAAGAGAACCCGAGGCTTGTCTCATCCCTCAAACACAACTAGATAACTATCAAATCATTCTAAATGCCCCAGAAATTAACCTGAAGACTGAGAGAATAACCTCCACAATTAAAGGGAGAGAAAAAAACCACATCGAAGAAGGTAGAAAGTGTGGAGACGTGGTTTGGAGGAGAAAAATCACAAGATCTGCAGAGGAAAAGGAGCTATGGTTGTGGAGAAAGGTGAGAGAGAATGGAGCATCAGGGGAACACACAAGGAGAACACTTCCCCCAAAACCATTGGCCGGGAAAAGGAGAGGGGCTAATTTTTGTGAGTTCTGAAACCAGCAGGGCTTAAAAACTAGCATTTTAAAGATAGGTGGGCTTGGGTGGGATAGAGCCTTGAGGGCACTGCCCTACTGCTGGAGAGAACACAGGCAAACAACCCTGGGAAAGATGGCATGGAAACAACAATCTGGGAACACCTGTGGCACAGAGAAGGTGACTATCTGTTCTTGGAGAGTATCCTTGGTCCCTGAGAGGTAGCATTCATTGAGACACCTCTCTGGGAACAAAGGAGCCAGCTGGTGCCATTTCCCTCCCCCATCCCTCAACAAAAACACAGAGCCACCTGCAGAGGGCAGCTTGGCCCTGACACTGGTTGCCTAGCCTGCTTGCTCCAGGTCCCACACCCCTGCACTCTGGCACAACAACCCTTCTCAGTCAAACCTGCCTCAGTCCCAGAGTGGTGAGACATTCCCCTAGAAAACCAGTGCAGGCCCCTGCCCACACCATGTCTCTAAAGCCTGGAGATTTATTTTTTTAAGATTTTATTTATTTATTCGAGAAACAGATAGAGAGAGAGGCAGAGACACAGGCAGAGGGGGAAGCAGGCTCCATGCCAGAAGCCCGACATGGGGCTCGATCCCGGGTCTCCAGGATCAGGCCCCGGGTCGAAGGTGGCGCTAAACTGCTGAGCCACTCGGGCTGCCCTAAAGCCTGGAGATTTAAAAGTCAGCAGGCTAAGCAGATAGAGCCCAAAAGGTACAGTGATGTTTCTGGAGAGAAGGCAGGCAAACAACCCGGAGGCAGACAGTGTGGAAAGAGCAATCTGAAAAACAACTGGCCCACATAGTGGTGGGGATTATTCGCTCTTCTTGGAGTGCATCCCTGAGAGCAGTGGGCCCAGAGACCCCTCTCCAGGGACAAAGTTGCTGGCTGGTGCCATTGCCTTCCCCCACCCCTCAGCATAAACATGGAACCACCTTTGGTAAATAGCACAGTGCCTAACTGTGCTTTGGTAAATAGCACTGGCTGCCTAACATGCTTACACCAGGTCCCATACCCCTGTGCTCTGCTGCTAGTGCCCTTGTTAGTCAGGTTTGCCTCAATACCAGCATGGTGTCCCCTTCCCCAAAAGACCAGCAGAAACTCCCGCCCACACCATGTCTCCTGGTCAGAGGTTTCTGTAAGGCTTCAGTTCTAGTAGAAGTGGTATCAGGTCTCATTTAACAAGTGGACCAGAGCACCCCGAGTTAAAACTCACCACATTATGGCCAAGGCCCAAACACTACCCACTTCAGGCAAGGAGAGCCTCTGCAGACAACTAGCCTGAAGAACAGAACAGCCAAAATGCAGCAGAATGCACACTACACACACCACAGACATTCCCTGAAGTGACCATGGACACTATATGACTTATTATTCATAAAGCCATCACTCTCAGGAACAAGAAACATAATAGGCTTATCTAACACAGGGAAAAAGACAGAGACTTAGAAAAAAAATCCCAGGACAGAGAAATTCATCCCAAATGAAACAAGATAGGTGATGCCACAGATCTCAGTGAAACAAAGGTAAGTAACATGCCTGATGGCGAATTTAAAGCAACAATCATAAGAACACTTGCTGAGCTTAAGAATGGAAGACTTCAGAGAGGCCTTACATCAGAGGTAAAAGAGTTTTAAAAAGACAATCAGAAATGAAAAATGCAATAACTGAGATTCAAAATACACTTGATGCAATGAACAGGAGCACGGAAGAAGCAGAGGAATAAATAGGTGATATGGAAGATAAAATAATGGAAAATGATGAAGCTAAGAAAAGAAGCATTATGGAATACAAGAGTAGAATTACGGAACTCAGTAATTCATTCCATCAAACATAATAACATTCATATTCTAGGAGATGCACAAGAAGGAGAGAAAAGGGAGCAGAACATTCATTTCAGGAAGTAATAGCCGAAAACTTCCCTATTTGGGGAAGGAAACAGACATCTAGATCCAGGAAACACAGAAAATTTTCATAAAAATCAACAAAAGAAGGCGAGTACCATATTCTAGTTAAATTGAGAAAATCTAGTGATAAAGGAAAAATTTTAAAAGCAGCAGGCAAAAGAAGTCCTTCACTTACAAGGAAAAACCCATAAGACTAGTTGGAGATTTCTCAACAGAAAACTTGGCCGAGAGAGAGTAGCATGTATATTCAAAGTGCTGAATGGGAAAAATCTGCAGCCAAGAATATTCTCTCTAGCAAGGCTAGAGATTTAGAATAGAAAGAGAGATAGTTTCCCAGACAAAAACTAAAGGAGTTAGTGGCCACTAAACCAGCGCTGCAAGAAATATCAAAGGAGACTCTCTTAGTGGGAAGGACAGACCAAATGTGTCAAAGACAAGAAAGGATCAGAG